GGTCGTGCTATTGTCCCGGCCACCAAACCTCGGACGGACTTTGCGCTATAATTAAGGTGTTTTGCCGCTCCAAAACCTTTATCGACATTTAGATATATAGGGTAAAAATGAGTGCTGAGTCCGAAGCTGACGTCCGTTTTTGCAAATTCGAAGCCCTTGCCCTTCATTCTGACTGTCGAAAATACCCACTATTTGTTGCAGAATTCTTTGCAATTAACAGCCTGCCACGTACAGCGTTACTGTCTCTACGACTGGCTTAATCAGAATAGCATCTGGAGATTCCCAATCATTTTGGATAAATTTCAATAAATGACGGCCATCGTGGTTTCTACCATCATGGTTAACATGATACAGCTGGTGTTACAATTCCTTTAATATCACATAGATCAGTCAGACGTTCAGCTCGATCTGAGAAAATCATTAAAGATGTATGCCTGCAATACATTATTTATATGTCTTGCGACTACTGCAATTATATTTTTGATTTGTAACTGCAACAGCACGGTGGTCACCGATAGACGATGGACTCGGCCTATAGCTCTCCTCGCAGACGCCCGTATTGGCTCAAATCTGGCGCTACAGAAAGCTAGCATACCACTTAGCATACTGGAGAAGGCTGAGGGCTTATATTTGCGCTGAGCTTAAGTTATGATAGGTCAAGTATGTAAGGACTCATACCTTACATCTTTTTGCATTAGAGATAATAAATTACGTGCTCAATTTAGACCATACCGCTCTCGTGTAAGACGCGCTGCATGTCTGAGCGATTTCTTTAGACAGGCATCTAAGAAAGGAGGATAAGCACGTATTAAGCTCTCAGCAGGAAGACGAGACATTATCAAATTCATTTTTTTATTTTCCGTCCGAGCCGTTTTGGCCGGGACAATACGATGAAAGTGTCGTCGTCACAAAGCCTATTGGTACTAGTATGCGCTTTAGAAGGTCACAATTTCTGCAACGGATATAACGATGTACTGGAAAGTGCTAAAGAAGTACAACTGATGCGAACAATTCAAATTTGGCGCGAAGCTGAAGTCGTCAAAAAGATACAGACTGCGTCCCCCCCCCCCAGGGTTCACATCAGCAATTCCACCAATAAGGTATTTGTACTCATAGTGGCATGTCGTGCGATTGGTGGATCCACACATTCAAATGTTGTGATTGGCGGAACCGTGGCTTCAACAGCATGCCCATGGGGCGAACGAATATGGCGGCAAAATCTCGCCGTGCGGACGCGGCAAACGAAGGCTTAGTTCCAAATTCGACGAAAGACGCACAAGTCCAGCAGCTCAATGACCGCCACTGTCTTCTTCGACCACACTAGTGCTGCCTCCCACTCCCGTACAGCCAACCCAGCAACAATAGGCAAGACACTGATCCACTTTGGCTAGCCGGTGCCTTGCTTGCCACATATGGATATTCATCGACAACCTCGAGCTACTGAAGAACCTGTTCGGTGGTACACTCATCTGCGGCTACACAAAGGATATGGGGGGGGGCTTGGTCATGGCAGGTTTACCTGAGATCACGACCGAAGAGCTGATCACCATCCTGTGGAGCGTTGAATGCGTACTCTGCTCCCTGGCTCTTCTTATCGCCTCGAATATCGTCATCGGGTGCCCCGCCTTCAAACTCCTTAACGGCTCGGTGCACGTCGGACGCGAACACAGTCTCATATGCTAGATGTACTGCTACATGGCGCAAGTGAACACAACCCGTATTTATACGGCATACGTACTTCGTCCAGAGTCGATCCGTTGCAATAACATGACTACACTGGACGGAAATGGAGCCGTCACCGCGGAGCTACTGAAAAAAATGGCGAATTATGGGTCCAGGGTTTTTCGTACACGTACTAAGCTCTAGGAAAACCGTCAGACTTTGCACATGTACACTGCCCTGGCGGAAGAAGTGCAGGAGATGTGGGCAAAATGTGCTCTCGCCATGCCACAACAGCGCTGCCGAAAGGCTCACCGCGCGTCATACAAGTGCTTGCCGCTAAGAAGAAGAAAGTCCTTCTCAGGATCAAGCACGTCCACGACCACCGAAGGATTTCTGATCCGCTTTCGAACCGACGAAGGTCATCAAAACAGATGTACTGAAGGTCCCGTGGCACGTCATATTTGTAAGCAACCACCACTGCAGAGCGGCAAAAGCGTCAGACTGCTGGTGTGCTTATTTGACGCAGCTGATGAAGAACCGCTGAAGGAGCCACAGTACGCTAGCATACACGGTTACGAAGCTGCTGAACGACTCCCTGTCCACCACATACGAGTCCAGCTACCATCGTAGCTACTGAGGATCGCTGCGAGCTCGCTACGGTGAAGTTTCTTAAAGATAGCGTAGAAGACCAATCCAGCTGACGGTCTCGTACGAGGCTAAGGTGCTGGTAGGCATGACCGGAAGTAATCTCACATTAAGCATTCTTTTGATTTGAGCGTTTCATTATCTACAGTGGAGACAACCACGTTACTTTTTCTCGCGCTGCTTGCGGTAAATTGCTTCAGAGGGGCTCACACCTTGGCTTCCGCATCGATAGAATCTTACAGGAGGTAGCGTGTCAGGCGCCATGGCAACAGGTTTCTTTTTGCGCCACTTAGATGACCGGTAGTACATGCACTTGGCGCATTGGCACTGCCGCCATTGAAGCTTGTTAGCTTGCTTCGTTATTACATAGATGACGTTCATGGCCATACTCAGATACCCAAAAATAGTGTAGCCACGCTTTTTGTGAAACCCATCCTTCTTGTGAGGGTAAATTGACTCTTTATCAACAGATTTGTCCTCCTTCATTTCCTTGCAGCATTTAAAGTGCTCATCGAGCTTTGTCCGCGTATGCTGAAGGTAGATTTTCAAGAAATCTAGGCGATCGTGAAGGTGGTTACGAGTAATCTATACATATCAATAACAAATCAGCCACTGTATGCAACTGACACAGATCTGAAAATCAGAGTCGCACATCCGAAATATCCATGGAGGATCGAAGCCATCTCAACATCATGCTGTATTCGTGAAGAAGGTCATGATTGCCAGCATAAAGCCCTGTATATCCACTGTACATTTGTTCACTGGGAGGGCCCCAACGTAATCATCTATTCCGGCATAAGAGCTAAAGCTGTGCTCACACTCCTTAAAAACAAAACTCGTCAGCGTAGACACTATTATCGGATAATAAACGTACTCAGCGTACAAGGTGGTCAAGCGAATAGAAAACAGGGTATAAACTGTCGAATTCGATAAGCTTGCGAGTGCCGACAGTGAAGTACTCAAGGGCCTGGTTTACTCAAGAATCAAAAGCTTAGACCTATAAAAACGAGGGTATAATACACGCACCATGTTGAGATTGAAGTCAGAGCCGTCATTCCGGCCCAGCATCTCCTTTGGGCTTGGTAGCTGATTAAACACGTCATACACTGGCACGTGTGAGATTGAACGACAGACCGGGTTGTCAGACTCGACACGAGTCATCTTCACGGAAGACTGCAAAATCTAGACTGAACGGAAACTAAGCACATGCAAGTTGGGTGGCACTAGAAGATCGCTTCGCAGCTGCCTTAGACATTTTTTTGAGTGAGTTACACAAATTAAAATCTGGAGCAAGGGTACGTGCATCTGCGCTTGTCGACGCAATACGACTGGAAAATGAAACAAGAGTGAGTTTAGCCTTCTCGTCAAGAGTTTCGCCAAGAAACAATAATAGAGCTGTTGCCGCTAGTCCTGGCAACGCAGCGAGCTCGGTAGTGCTTCGTAGCTACTTCTACTACCATCGCCATGTTGTAGGAGCCGGTTGTCTCTACAAGCGCCCAGAAGTTTGTGCTGCACCTCTAGTGCTGAATTCGCTGACGCCCAGGCAGAGAAAGGATACGTAGACCCCGGAGTTGGTTCTTGACAAATAGGTCGAGCACGTGTCAATGATGTCGGCGATCATGGGCGGTATTTTTGTGCCACGCGAGTGTGCCTTGCACTGCGTAACATGCAGATCTCATCGGGTGGAAGAATGAACTCTGTGACCGCCTCTTCACCGGCATACTCAGCTGCCCTACCGGCGAGGGTTGGTTCTCAAGCCCACGTAGCGATAATGCGTCCTTTCCAGCTTCATAACCGAGCGTAGACAAAGCCACAGCCCTATATAGACCGGAGAATGTCCTCGATGCGGGAGACCGTTTCGGGGCTGGCCGTTAGCAGATAGAGCCATATAGTTTTGATTACACCCTTGAGCATGGCCAGCACACCATCGATCGTCGATGCGGGATTGCACTTGACATCGATCCTGCACAAATGTTGTGGTCGATGGTAGTGTAGTTGCATCTACGGATGTACCGGTAGCGCCGCCCAGGCTGTCCAGCTTCGGTGATTGTGCAGTTGAGGCACAGTTTGTGTACGCCACACGGATCAAGAGGTCATGTAGGCCACGGTACTCCCCTTGTTAACTTTATTTCGTAAGCGAAAACTGGCTGAGATGGCTACCAGTCAGAAAAAAAGACAATTAAAAAATGTTACCTGAGGTACTCTTTTCGCACAAAACCTCTACAACTGCATAATATTTGGACAAAACCCTCGCATATTTTGTGCTGTAAAAAGGTACTTGACGTATTCTTTTAGGGCGTTGTACTTGAAGTTTGCACGGTGTCCCTTCAAATTGAAATGTATGGCGTTAACGATAGGGTTAATCAACAAGCGTTGATCATATTATGTTCGGTCGCCAACTTTCAACAAGCGTTGATCATAATAGCGTTGATCATAATATGATCAGCGCTTGTTGATTAAGTTGGCGGCCTTCCGGTCAGTCTTCATGCCAAGATCAAATGGGTACATATTATGTACCCATTTGATACAGGAAGGCGAAAACACCATCATATAGCATATACTATTGTATCTTTCAAATTTGGTGTATTTTACATGTAAGTTGTATCTTACCCTACTGTTTTAGCCAATCAGCAGCGAATTTTGACAAGCTCGTGGCCATTCGATCCCAGACAGTAAGTTAATTGTGGTGGAGCATGCTGAAGGTCAGCTCGTCGGAGAAGGATTACATCGTCGAAGGCGTCGCCGCCGACGTACGTGCAGACGGACGGGACCGCCTTTCATACCGCAGCCTGTCTTTGGAAACATCCCTTCTTGCACAGTCCAACGGCTCGGCGCGCGCATCACTGGAGGCGTCGGGCACCGACGTGCTGGCCTCTGTTAAGCTAGAAGTGGCGTCTCCGCTGCCCGAGGATCCAAACGCGGGCATCGTCCAGGTTGATGTTTCTTGCTGCCCCTCTGTCTCGGCCAAGCTTTATGGACGTGCTGTGGAGGAGCTAAATGTGGAGCTGTCGCAGCTCATGACGCGATTACTGTGCTCGTGCCCCAGTGCCGAGCTCGAGAAGTACTGCATCATCCCGGGCGAGAGCGTCTGGTCTATCAGCATCGATGTGATGGTGTTTGAGTCTAGCGGTAATCTTCCAGACGTAATTTCCATGGCCATCTACGCGGCGCTCAACGACACGATCTTCCCGTCGGTGCGCCTGGTGGGCGTGGAGGGCGAGGACAAGACCATTGAGGTAGACACGGACCCTGCAGCTGGCAAGCTTATGATGGCCCAGCAGTGGCCTATATGTGTGACTCTCAGCAAGATCGGCGACTACTTTATTACTGACCCGCTGCAAGAGGAAGAACTGTGCACGACAGCGCAGATGAGCGTGGCCGTCAACCCCGACGGAAACGTCTGTGGTGTCCAGAAGAGCGGCAACGGCTCCATCGAGATGGAGGAGATGCAGCAAATGATCGATGAGGCGTGCGCACGATCGAAAGATCTATTTAAACTGCTACAGAAGGCTTTGCTCGAGCAGAGAGCTAGGGATGCCAATGCAGGACATAGAGTGGAGCGTGTTGGCTTTCTTGGATAAGGGATATACATGTACCGTATACCGATTGAGACTAGGCTGTGTTCAGGGTTGGGTTTGTGCTATGGACAAGGGTGGATTTGGATTGATGAAAATGAAACAAAGCTACCGGTATCCCTTTTCGTTCTTGAAAATTGTCAAGATAAAACCCATTTTAGACACCCACACTCAAAAAGTAATTGCCCACCCTTTGTTCTCTCAAAACGTGGGTTTTTAACAACGCTGGTTGTGTTTCTTACCGGTAGTGCCTACTGCGTCAGTCTTTCTTTACCATAACACCGTTGTCAGCGCCTTCGCCAGATGAACCCATTTCAGACAGAAAATTGACAACACGCAGTAACCGGCCTTGATACCGTTCAAGCACCTCGATGTTCAGCGACCGATTCATGAAGCCCATCTCCTTCAGCTCACCCAACTGTACTTGCCACTTCGTCTCTTGGTCAGCTGACTGTGTGACAGAGATGACAGGTTCCATGGCGTGGATTGCAGGGATAGCGGTTGAGTGCATACTCTCGTCTAGCGATTTTTCAAGAGTCTGTCGAGCCTCTCCCCAGGCACCTGGCAGTTGGGTTCGTTCTCGCGCTACCGAGGCTTCTTCGTACGACTCATCTATCGCAGCGGGTTTAGGCATAACTTCGTCCGCTGACACCTTTTCAACAAACAGCGCTTCTTGGCGGCCATTCAGGCCGAGTTCTTGCAGCGACTTGTCTGCGGAATCTATCCAAAAGAGTCGACGCGGGTATGTAGCTACCAACCGAAAATACTGAGCATCCTCGCCTGTGAGCGCCTCAACGAAGTCGAAAACACTTTGAAGCGGCGAAGCGTGTAAGAATCGTCGTGTTGACTGCCCCTCGGGCAGCCTCAACACCATTTTAACCTGAAGACGTTCATCTGCACGAGGCTCCGGCACCAAATTCGCCATTTTGTTCGCTTTCCACAGCTCTTTTTCTCGAGTCAACGCGGCAGTGCGCACCGCTTCTTCTTCTACTCGTTTCTTAGCCTCCTTCTTCTTGGTTACTGCCTCGCACGGGATCATATCCACCTCGAGATCTGTGTTCAAGATGTTAATAGCCCTGTCAGGTTTCAGTTCTGTGACGAGCACTTCAAATGTCTCTCTTCCGTGTCGGACAAATAGCACGTCGCCCTCCGTCAGTGTCGTATGGGCCTTGAGCGAGCGCTCGAGCATGTGCTTAAAGTCAATTTGACGATCTCCAAACCCTTCTCCTTTCGGCCGCAGACTCGCAAACTTGCCCTTCTCTAACCGAACAAAACGCACCTGGATGCTGGCTGGGAGCTGTTTGGTATATCTGAACAGCGAAGCAGCGACCTTGGGCGGGAGCCCCACCGTTCTTTCCTCCGCCACAAACTCCAGTACGCCTGCATGCGTTTGACTCCTTACAGTGGGTGCCTCTCCACCTTGCTGATCATCGTCGAACGACAGTTCGAACGTGAACACACCGAGATCCAGCGCGTTCTGCGGGTTGAGCTCCTCCAATGCCGACACGGGCAGCGTGATCTTGTCACCGTCCCCCGTGGTGGGGACTGGTCGCAGCTGCTGCAAATATTTGATACCACCAGTTAGTCGTTGCTCTTCCAGCGCCTGCTGCTCTTGCATTTCTAGCTCCGCAATGCGTTCCACGCGTTTTTGCATCTGCAGTTTCTCCAGCTCCTCGCGCGCCTTGGCGGCAGCCGTACGTTTGCGCCTCTCCGCCTCGATTTTGCTTCTGGCCTGGTCACGCCGCTTGTTTTGCTCGCGGGCCCATTTGGCGTTGCGCATATTTAGATCCAGCTCCATCGCTGCTTGCTTATGCGGCTTGTTACTCCACGAGCTAATTTCAACTTCCAGGACTGACGCGGACTCGGTTTACTGGAGTCTTTGCGACACGTTTTCGACCAATGAGTGATTCGTAATCATTTCGCGTCTCTTGAAGCTACCGTTGGTTAGGTTAGAGCAAACTGGCCTTGAAACTAGAGCACAGATTTGAGTTTGAGTAGCATTGGAAACAATAGTCGAAATGGTGTTTGTGGTGCCTAAACTGACAGCAGACCAAGCTTCGACAATTATTTGTGGCGCTTGGATGGCAGCAAAAGGCAAGAGAAGAAGATGGAGAATCACTGCTTCCGTCTCCTCGAACGCAACCCCAAAATCAGCTTTGCCGAACATTTCGACCCGACATTTGATGACCCTACGGCCCGCGTCCGCTACAACTTCACTATCGCGCAGCTGCAATGTCTGTCTGTCAAGCTGCGACTACCACAACCAGCTCTTTGAACTCCAGAAGGCGACAGAGTCCCCAGTATCGAGGCGCTCGCAATGGTCTGTCGCCGGTTGACCGAGCCATCCCTTCTTTTCACGCTCGCCAACGAGTTTGGGCGTTATACTGCCGCGTACAGCCGGATATGTAAGGAGACTATCGCTGTGCCTCACAGACTTGTGGTGTAGTGATTTCTCCAGAGTTGCGGATAATCGCCCGTCGACAAAGATGCCACACCGCCCAAGATGTTCAAGCGACGAACCTGATGTACAGTGACTCCAAGGTGCAAGAGACTCGATGGCGTCACTACCGAACTCTCAGCGGATATTGGATACGGTCCATATGTCACTGAATCCAGGCTGTCCTTATTATTAATAATGGACTGCGGATTCGCATTCAGCGGCCAAGAACTGACCATCTACGGTACGCCCCTCGGTGGCGGTTGGGATGAGTTCGCGGAAGACTCAGCAACCCTTTGAAGGCACGTTCACTGTCTGGGACAGGGCGCAAGCCGTTAATGATGCTCATACGACGGTGTAGACGACGCTTGGCGTGCAAGAAGATCTATAACGGATCATTGTTCACTTGATATGTGTATACTTGATTAGAACTTCTTATTAGGAATAGACCCGAAAGGGTAAACATAAATGCAGAACAGTCTCTTGGCCTTGCCGGATAAACCCTCGCTACAGAGCTTCGAGCTCACCGACAGACATGACACACTCAAAAAAGCTTGACCAGACGCTTACCTTGAAGCCGGACGTCGCTCTGTATGCTTGAGTGGAAATTCTGCTTGTCGATGCGGCACACTATGTCTTGAAGCAAGCCATCACGTTCTTTGTACTCCTCCGATGACCCCGAAGACCGCAGCAATGCCCTCTGCACCTCCCAAAATGTACGCACAAGACGGTCAAAGCGATTTTGTAGCGCTGGGTCGTCCTTCTTTAGAAAGCCGTCGACGGCACGGCACTTATCTGCCACAGCATCGAACGCCTTCATTATTCCGTTAGTAGTTCCCATAGCAGCTTCCCATGGCTTCACTAAGTTCACGCTGCGCAGCAAAACAAGGTCATCAGCCACAGTAAAGGTTTTGCGCGTCGGTGTGGAAGGCTCTGGAGACGAAGCAGGCTTCTGCTGTGTCACCTCCGTTAAAGCACCCTCTGTCATCACCAGTCGACTAAACTGAATGTGAATCTGGTGACATACGAAAGGCAAGTTTTGGCTGGCTTGCATTCTCTATTCAGCCTTCATAAAACTGCGATGAGTGAAACTCAAACTCAACTCCAATCGTCTCCGAAAAGTCTCTAATATTTAATCTGTAAAGTTGAGTTTACGCACTGATAAGTGCTGCACTGGCACTAATGAAACAAGAGTTATCACCAACATATTATTTTTGTCGTGTAACCGTCAACTTGAAAAGCTAGCACTATAAAGAGAACTAAGCGCCAATCGAACAAAGCAAAAACCTAAGGCCATACATCCAGCATTACGACGAGAACGCTTCTGAATGAGCTCATTCGACTTATGATGCTTATCTTATTGAAGTGGCTATCTACGGGTACGTATTGTTTGTAGTTCTTAAAAGTCGAAAACGATTCGGCCAGTCTAAAGAGCAAACCATGAAGCAATAACAAAAATACGAAAACAAATAGCGTAAGTCCAACAAGGTTTTAATTCAAAGGCAGTTTAGTGCTCACAGCCTCTATCACGCGTAGCTACAGAGCTACTACGCAGTACTTATCAAGCCGCCGGCCTATTCCTCAAGAACGTGCTGGACGCTAAGGAAGATGCTCTACAGCAGCAGAAGATCAATGCCTGGATGGTCATGGACACGTTCTTCGTCTACCTATACGACCTGGTGCAGCACCGCGTCATGTACCAGGTGATCGCCTTCCGCCTGTTCCGCCAGATCTTGTCGCTCTTTTCCGTGACTGCTCCCAGCCCGATCCAAAGCACGTGGGCCAAGGTGACGCCGCTGAACTAAGGAATCTCCGAGATGATTTCGTTTCTGGTGACGTTCGTGTCGCTGTGGATTGTGCGTCGCTAAGGGCTGCACTGGAGCTGGAAGGTTGTCGTCGTCGTGTGGCAGCTTGGTGTCGTGTTTGTGGACGTCTTCCCGACCTTCCTGATCATCTGGAACGTGTACCGCAGTCAGTGGTTCTGCCTTGGTGCGCCTCTCCTCGAGGAGTTCCCCAACAGTAGCGGCGACTTCAATTGTACTTTGATCGTCGTGGAAGTGTGTGACAAAGGCAGTGAGGCGACCGTCATGGGCTTGATGATCACCATTTTCGCTCTGGGGACGCCCTTCTCGACCGTGCTCTACAAGACGGTGGGCTGCTACTTCGACATCGAGCGCAAGTACATCGTCAAGGACGACCACCACGTGCGCTCTCAGGTGACGTACGCGTACCTCATCGCCTACGCATGCAGCCTCCTGTCCGTCCTCTTCGTCGTGTGGCTGTCTCGACAAAAGGTAAACGCCCGTGCACTCAACACAAGAGGGGCGCTCACCGTGTGCTACCTCGTCTTCGCCTTCTGCTGGATGATCATGACCAACGCGTTGAGTCTCTCCGACTCCACTTCCTGTCTGCTTCCAGAGTCGTGAGCGCGCGAAGCAGCAAGCGTTTCATCGCGAAATGGCCCATCAACAAGTCGAATGTCACCTCGTCAGTCTCCATATCTTCGCTTTCGAGCTCCGAATCCCCGTAGTCGAAAGTTTGAGCTCTTAGAATTAATACAAATTAGTCATGTGTGTGTTGAACACCTTGGTCTCGATCGACGTCAGTATTGTTGCCCACAAGTAGGCAGCATTTGCACGGCTTGCTAGCGTGCTGAACTTGTGAAGGCTTGAGTTTGAAGAGGTCGGTAAAAATGGTTTTCGTTTACGAAGATCGTAAAATACTGCCGCCGATGCCGATCTCCTTGTTGGAGAAGACTTGCGGTGCTTGTTGGAAATTGCAAAATGAGCTCGAAGGCCTGACGGAACGCTGTCGATCCGAACGGTAGCTCTTCCTTCTACGACAAGTGGGTGGTCTACCTGACTTGTGGAGAAGTAGATGCTGTCGAAAGTATACAGATCTTACCATTAGTACGGGCGATGGATTGAACCTCCTCTCATCACGATCAGAGCCGAACACACCTCCAAACCACTTGTCGGCTCGTCCAGAAGAGAATGTTGGAGTTCCCCCCCCCCCACGTTCCTCCTTCCCAAAAATAAACGCAAATTGGCTGATAACACCAGTGCCTCGTAGATCGACGCGGCCTTCGAGTGAATGCCCATTTGCTCGCAGTATACCGATATATTAGCGTCGCCTTATAGGCACCCATCGCACCCATTGGCGCCACCATGCGCACATCTTGGAAGTGCGCCGTTATGCCTCGGAGATACACTTTCTCTTCACCCGAAGGCAGCGTGCTCTGATCAACAGTGTACCGAAGGCAGCGTAACAACATACTTGAGTCGAGGTTCTCGATGCACAATTTCGACGGCGTGAAGGCTTGCTCAGAGAATCCGTGTACCGACCACCAATAGCATTTTTTTCTCCTCGTAATGAGAGGTACGTCTTGTAAGTGACCTGGTTATTCGAAAAGTGAACACAAATGAATTCTTGCAAGCTGCAAGCTGCACCAAAGCATTTTTTTAAATCACAGCTCCATGCAAAAGATACAGTTGTAGTTCTTCTAGGTACATGTACTGCACAGGCTATATTATAACCTTTACTGACCTTTACAGTGCATGGTTAGGACATGAACTTGAAATGTATCTTATACAACATATTGGCTGTGTAATTCCCATATATATTCACCCTGTTAAATTACATGTACTGAAGCCACGGACCACCTTCGTTCTTATGCTTCTTGCTCAATTCGTTAGACTCGCGAGCGCGAAACGAAGGATTCCGTCGCCTTCCCGACCGACGGACATCAGCTACTTCCTGATTACTGGTACATGTATTTCATGTAGGATCAGCCGTGTCCTCTCTGGCTTCACAATATTGCATTATCTCTTCACCATTATCAGATGGATCCTCTGTCGCTGGTTGATTCTGGGGCCCTGGAGAAGCCGGTAGCGATTCAGTTTCCCCAGAACATCTTCACCATTATCATCCGCATTCTCTGTCACTGGCAGGCCCAGCGGCGCTGGAGAATATTTTCTTGAACTACCTTGATGCTTGAGTTGATTCTCTTCCTGTGGTGGTATTGGTAGGACGACAGATGCCGCTCGCGAGTCCTGCAGTGTTAATGGTCCAAAAACCGATTTTTCCTTCCGCAATTGCTGCAATTTCTGACAACTCTGGTGCATTGTTTTTGCGCGATCTTCGGATAGTACGCCTTTCAGTGTTGGCAAAGTCCTTGGGATTTGGACGGACGGATTAAGTCCGTCCAGGCCGATTGGCCGAAGCCTGTGGCGGAAGGACTTTACTGATTACATCTTAAATGTAGCATTTTACTTAAATAACAACGAATTGGATAAATCAGCTCAGCTTTAGCCGATGGAGACCCGAGCAGCAGCCGACAGAAGGGCAAGCAGCCAAGCCGGAGCAGCAACTCGTACACAGTCACGTCCGACAGAAGGCCAAGCAGCAGCAGCAGCTCGTACTCCGCCACGCCCGACACAAGGTCATGCAGCGGCAGAGCTAGCGCTCATCCACGACCTACCGAGACCGGAGTAGTAGCATCTCGTACACAGTCACGTCCGACAGAAGGCCAAGCAGCAACAGCAGCAGCTCGCGCCCATCCGACGGAGACCAGAGCAACGCTGCGGCTTACGCAGGATATCTACCAGGATCCTTTTCGTTTACCTATCAGGCGCAGCAGCCACAGCATCAGGCATGCTGGCGGCAACAGCGTGGTTAACGCCGACGTCGACATCAGGTACGCAGTCGACGGAATCTAGAGGCCAGCACCGACGTGAAAGTCTGACCGAGAGCAGTAGCAATACCAATTGGAAGAATTCAGACTGTACATTACGGAGGATTATTACGCTTGAAGGCCAAGCTGGATATTACTTTGAGTACCTGGTACTATGGTAATTTCAAACAAATAGCTCCGTAAGTGTTGATTTCCGACCACGAAATCCCTAGAGTATTAGCGCTTCTTGTGGGAAGTTTCGGTCATTATGGACAGTAAATTCGTGCTTGATCGGGGAAGGGATATTTTCCAGTTCATTCTCGTCCTTCGAATCATCTTCACGCTGTTCTCTTAACATTCTCAGCTCAGGACCAGCTTCGTTTTCTGTGTAGCCCGCATCAATTTCTTCATCCTCAAACACCTCGTCGAGAAACTCCCCCCACATCGTCAAAGTAGCTGTTCCATCAGCACCGTCACCCGGATCGTCATCGTCACTGTCATGGTCTGCATTCGATGACCCCTGTTGATGGGGTGAAGGTTCAAACAGGTTAGATCTGCTCGTAGCATCCATTATAATTTCTCTCTCAATGGGAGAAATAAGAAGCTTTTTCCTTGGATCCCCGGAATCAATCTTTTTAGACCGATTGCGAACATGCTTGGCAATGATGTGATAATCGAGGACTTTAGTTGGAGCCATACGATTGCGCTTTGCAGTGTGAATTACGCCAAGTTCACTAAAGAGACGCTCGCATGTGGCAGTATTTACTGCAATAGAGAGAACCCTCATGGCGAGTGTTGGAAGCTGGCTCTTGGGACGTTCCGTCGCAACGCACTCCCAGTACTCTCATGGTACATTGGGAAACTCGCTAGGCTTCGTTCGGGTAAAGCGACCTTTCATCCAGGCCAGCATATCACGTCGTATCTCGCAAATATCCTCAGTAGAAAACAGTCGCCGGAAATAGTAAACAGCAATCTTGCACAACGTGCCAGTTCCCGATACAGCGGTCTCAGGTAACTCTCGGGCGATCTCGGCGTACACTGGATGTAGTGCAAAGCCAATCATAAACAGGGGCTGCTCACACTGCGCCCAACGATGCTCAACGCACTCAACTAGTTTGTTACGACGGACAAGATGTTGCTGGAAACCCTCATAAATTTCCCGAAATGATTGCACGACATCTCCCAGGGTATTCTCATCTCGCTGAAGACGAAACGATGCGTAAGATATTGGCGCGATAACGGCTTCTGCTTCTTTTAGCTCTTCCCAAAATAGAGACTCACCAAAAACACGCAGCTGACTTGGAAAGTCAATATTGGTTTTGTATTGGCGGTACAGCGTTTGCAGAGCTGATTGAACGCGAAGCAAAGATGCCAAGCATCCTTGCATAGAGTTCCACCTTGTTTCGCATAGCGTTCGTAGCCCCAAAGATCTCCCGTAAAACTTTTTCATGATTTTTTGAGCACGTGGTAGCCACTTCGAAGATGACGCGTTCAAAATGTTGACGGCCGTTGCAGCCTTGGATGCAATACCATTAAAATTCGATTTTAGTACTGCTTTTACGAGGTTGTTGACGTCATGCGCAAAACAAAACAAGAAAACAACCTGCGGCCACCGAATGGCCAGAATCCGGCGAGCACGTCCACACTGTCCTGCATTATCCGTCGCCATTGCTCCAACACACCACCCTTCTAGTTGGACTCGCTCCAGTAATGGCTCAAGTTGTTTGGCAATAGCTATGCCATGATGCTCGTCCCCAGCTGGTAAGAGCGCGTAGGTAAGCAGTATTCCAAAGAGAGAGAGTTGACAGCCCAGTAGGTGTTCCTTGGAGATAGTTTGCCAAACATCCGAGAGCAGATTAACCCAACCGTTTGTAGCCTTCACCATTGCCCTCAAAGCTTCCGTGTCCGTCGTGCTGCAACGGCTTGCATGTTCTTTAAGGATGCGACCACTCAACGTTCGTCATTTTAGCCTCCTCGAGGCATACCGACCCATGTTAGCTTAGCGTAATTGGCCGCCTCGTAAGAGCGGCGGACTTCATTTAGAACTTCAGATGGGGTAGTTGATCAATTTCCTTCTAATGTATCGTTGATGCTGGACTGAGTTGTACTTGTTATTTCTGCTGACGGTGCAATCTGTACAAGGACGGGGTTCAGATCTCCCAAACGATGAAAAATTGATGCTATCATTGTTTTCGTCTTCTCCGCCGCCTTTCTTTAGGACGCTTTAAGTCGCTTCGAAATTTTAGGCTCGTCATTTAAGCGGAGCCATTGATGCAACATGTGCAATTCGAGACAAGTCAAGGCGTGTGACCAGTTCCGTAGGATTAGCTCTTTTGTTGTCATTTACGAGCTCAGCCTGTAGTGGTAGCATTCTAAGGGCTTGTTCGTTGCTGCGTACCCGGTTAGAGTATGAAAAGCTTGCCAACAAGAAAAACGGCCTCCAAGAATCCAAAATGAAATGATATGATTGACCACCCTGCGAAATTTTGGGCAAATCTCACCACCACCCCTCCAAGAACTTACTACAGAATCACGTTTTCTTAGATAGTCCTCCTCAGTCACAGCGACATGCAATTCGTAAAGATTCCGAAAAATCAACTGCTTGGATACGAGATCTAGCTTTTTGTCATGAAGGTGCTTTGCCACATTTTGTGTGACATGGAACCAACACATTAGAATTCTGCTAAGTGGAAGCTTCGATACACATACGTTGTATTGGGCTTTGTCCGCATCCATCATGACATAGTCAGAACT